TGCAAGAGGTTCATACTTGTTGCAAAGCTTCAGTGGGGCAGGGGCCTTGGTGCAGCAGGCCCTGGGACCCTTGACTACCTTGGTCCAACCCCATGGTTGGACAGAAGGGGATGTCCCCAAGTCCTCCCTTGTCCTGGAGGGAGACTGTGTTCTACCCTCTGCCTCCCAGGGGAGAAGGGACTGGTAGTAGGAGTCTATCTCCTGCTCACAGTCCCTGATGGCACGCAGTCTCTGAACTGTAGCCTGGAGCTCCTGCAGCTGGCGTGCCAGAGACCCCAGTCGGGGAGCAGACACCATAAGGGGAGGTGGCCATGCTCCTGGGCCCCAGAGCCTGAAAAGGGGACAGGCAGCCCCCGTAGCCAAGAGCCAAAGGCTTTGTCTGTGTGAAGCCTGGAACTTTGGGCTCCGCCTGGGTGGCTGTCTCTGAGGTGCCGGGGGGGGGGGCCACAGACCCTGAGGGGACCCTCGAGGTGCGGCCTGTGCCCATCCGTGTCATGTTGCTGGTGGGCTGGCTATGGCTGGGACTGCTTACTCTGGGGGGCTCACAGGCAGGGCCTTGGGCCCTCCCGCTCACCCTCCTGCACGAACTCCCACGCTAACTCACATGCTGGGCTCAGGAGCGTGCCTGTTTGTGTGGCCTGTTCGCACGGCTCCCTGGGAGGCAGGGTGAAGTAGGAGCCAGGGGGAGCGTGACCCTCCTTGGTCCACTTAGCCCGATCCCAGCTGGCTAGATCCCTCCCTCCATGGGCCCCTGCTAAGCTGCCAGCAGGCCGGGGCTTGTCAGGGTTCCTGGGGTCACAGCTGTGGTCCCTGAGCTCGCAGGGGCGTAGTGGGCTTACACCCGCATGTCTCACACTGGAGCCAGGATGCTAGTGAAGCTTATGCTGTTGCTGGGCCCTTTTTAAACTGCACACATGAGCAGAAGGACCGGTTGGCACCTCAGTGCTTTTGGGGGGCTAAGGGGGGTCCCTCCCCTACACTGAGGGAAGGAAAAGGTGGGTGACTTCCCCCTAACCCGGTAAGCATGCCTGCAGGGGGGTCGCGTGGCTCCCTGGGGGGCTGGGCCAAGTAGGAGCCAGGCAGGGCGTGACCCTCCTCGGTCCACTTAGCCTTCTCCCAGCTGGCTAGATCCCTCCCTCCACAGGACCCTACTTAGCTGCTGGCAGGCCGGGGCTTGTCAGGGGTCCTGGGGTCACTGCTGGGGTCCCTGGACTCATGGGGGTGCAGCAGGCTTACACCCACGCGTCTTGCACCGGAGCCGGGACGCTAGGATTGCTTAACACTTCCTTTTCTTGCTTCCAGGAGCCTCTGGGATTTGTAGTCCACAATCACAGGCAGCAGTAAGTTTAGCAGGGCAGTTCTATACTCAGGGAAAGTGGAGTTTAACTGGAGAAGGGGGGGGGGTTAATTCCCCTCCCTAGCCCCAGACCCCAGCTGGGTTTTGCCTGCAGGGCCTGTACCTGCCTTCCCCGCCCCAACCCTCCAACCCTTCTTTGCTGAAGCAGACAGCACAGCCCAGGGCCACAAAGCATGTTGTGGGGACGTGATTTAATTTGAACCAGGAAAGGGTCTGGAACAGAAGTTTCATAAACCAGTTTGACCCAAATCAGTTAAGTCTGATACTAAAGTCAACCAGGTTTAACTTAAACTAGTTTCAGCCATTTTGAACTGAACTTCTGCTCTATTAATTACAGGTTTTCCTTGATTTTTGCAGGTTCTGTATATGCGAATTTGCTCTTATGCAATGAGCATTTTTAGACCCATAATTCATTATATGTAAGGTAAATTCACTCTTATGTGATTGGCATAGGCACCCCTGCCCAGGCAGGTAAGTCTGTAGAGGCAAGGCAAAGGGCCATGGGGCCAGGGCCCCACTCACCTCAGTCCCTGCTGCCGCAGCCCCAGGAGTGGCTGGTGCCAGCTGCCTGCAGCCACTGGGCTGCACCATGCTCCGCCTGTCCCCACTCACCCCAGCTCCTGGGCTGTGCCATGCCCTGGTGCAGGCAGCTGGTGTCGGCTGTTCGTGGGCCCGCTGCAGCAAGGGCTGGGGTGAGTGGAAACAATCAGAGCCCCGAGTGGCATGGGGCACGGCACAGCTTGTCCTCAGTCACTGTAGCTCCTGCTGCAGCTGCCCCAGGAGTGGCTGTTGCTAGCTGCTGAGGGACCTGTCAGTGGGTGTGGGCAGGTATGCCTTGTGCTGCTCTGTGTACCCTGGGAGGGCTGTAAGCTGGGGGGCTGTGCCAGTCTCTTCCTGGGGGGCACATGCCCCTGGATCTGCACACGGGACAACAGCAGGCTACTGCTACAGGCTGGGATCGACAGTGGCACTGGTCTCTTCCCAGTGCTTGGGGCTGGCCGCTGTAGCAGGGGCTGGGGTGAGTGCCCCTGTTCTCTCTGCTTTGCTCCCTTGTGCAGCCCCAGGAGCTGTACCCCTCCCTACCATCCCTTCCCTAGTCCCAGCCTCACTCCTGCCCCCCCTCACCACCATGGAAACCTATCCCTATTTGTTATATTATAAAGTGGGTTGGCTTTATGCAAATTCAATTTATGTGCCATTCTCCGGGAACACATGTATAGAATAAATCGAGGGAAACCTGTAATTCCAGCTGCCAGCCAGACTCCCAGCTGCCAGAGCACCAAGGCTGCTGCTTCCTCTGCCCCAGGATCCCAGGTAAGGCTGCTGGGGCCAGCACAGTTACTGGCTCCAGGCTCCCCTACCCGACCAAGGTAACCTGCCGTGTGCCAGAGTGCATGTGGCACAGTCATTCCCCAGGGACAAGCAGCAACAGCAGCACAAGGTGTGCCACTGCTACATGTCCCCAGGGAACCAAACGTCTATGCTCATCTGGACGCGGCTGTTGTATCTGGATGCGGCTGTTGTGCCTGAAAGCATATCTATCATCTTTCCCAACTATATAGCTTGTCCAGTTAAAGATTTTGCCAAAAAAAGCCTCCTTGCTTCTCATATATTTTTTGGACCACTTGGAACTGTACACTGAGAAAGCCCAGTCCTCCACGCTAGCAAGTATGGGTAGTTACATCACTAGGTCTCTACGTGCCCTAATCACCCATGATTACTTATGCAAACTAAATCCCTTTTCACAGCTTGTCTTGCAGTAAGACTCTTCATGACCCTCAGGGGATTACTGCAACACACAACACCTGAACGTACATGAGAAATGGAGGCACATGCAGATTTTATAACTGAAGCAATGAAAATAGAAATTCATCGCTCTGCCTCCATTTCTGGATCAAAAGGAACACAACCCCCGTCTCCAGCTGTTAATCTTCACCAATAGAAAACATAGCAAGGAAACACCTGAACGACTGATTAAAGAAACTACATTTTCTAATTTGGGAATTTCTCAGAGTTTTTGCCAGTATTAAAATTATTTAATTGATTTTCTTAAAGTAAAAATTATTTTGTTTATCTAAGAAGTTCCCCTCACCCCATTTTACTTTCCAGATTTAAAATGATTAAACCAAATTCATCCTTTGTCTAACTCCAATGGGTAATTGAATCAGTTGATTGTAGTGATATTGCATGCACTGTAATAACATTTGCCCCATTGAATTTTTTTTTTGTTATGATTACAAACAAGACCAAAGAACAGTTCATTCTGCTCTGTTGTTTTCTTGTTCTGTGGCATTTCTTGTTCTTATTTTTCAACTGTTTACACCAATAAGAAGCCATTAAAACCATGAAATCACAAAACAAATTGATCTCCTTCATCTAGGATTATGTTCAGGAAGAATGCTATGCTTTTAACTGCATAAGTGACAATGCAGTTTTTGAAAATGAAGGAAATCTACTATAATAGATTAATTAACCTTGCTGATGACATTCAGTAATTCTTTCTTATTAGAAAAAAGATCATCCCAACAAGTATATGAAAATTCAGCAACTTTGAAAAGACTTGTCTCTTTGTATGACATGTCTGGTATTAGATATTTAATTACATCATGCCATGAGCATAGGAGATATGACATATCACAATGTGATTACAAGGTGGTATGTGTACTGTGAAGCATTCAGCATTTCTGGAATCATCACACTGTATTAAAAATCAGACACTATCAAGCTACCTGCACATAGTTTGCTGCTACACATGTTCAAATGTTCTTATGCAAGCTACTTTATTTTAAAATTTAAAATAGTACCATCACTTTCAAAATAAAGAGTTGTTTTCTTCTTGTTGTTGATAGTATTGAGGCTACGAAAATAATTTAATTTTTCCATTTGGCAACTAAACCAAATTTTTTATATTTCAGGTCAAATTTATTTTAGAAATGACAAAACAAGATTTTTGACATTTCTAAAATGTATTCCTTGCATTGGCTTGGTCCAACATACTTAACAATTCAGTTCAAGTTCACAAATAGTTTGGGATCAGCCCAAACACTTTTCAACAACTGAATTCTTTCTGCAAAGCCAATTATTATTTCCATTACAATAGCATGTAGAAGCTCCCGTCTCAAATTAGAGCTTGTGGAAGCCATTATTTCTGCACATTGTAAGAAATATTCTTTGCCCTGAAGACTTGCAGCTTCACTATAGCAGGTAAGTACAGGATATTAAAAAGGGATTATCATTATTTCCATTTTACAGTTGGGAAACTGATACACAGGAGATTAAGTGATCCTCCAAGGTTACACAGAAAGTCCATGGTTGGCCCAGCAATTGAACCCAGGGCTCCTGAGTAGTGGGTCCAATGTTTTAACCAGAAAATCATTCACATAAGAGCTGGGAAAACAATCTCTACTGAGAGCATAAAACATTCATCAGTTAGAGTTGCAAGGAACTATGCTTTTAAATAACAACAGCTTTTTTTCATTTCCAGCAGTGTCAGCAACAACACAAAAGGAAACACAACCCTGCATGAACACTGTGAATGTATGGTTTCAGCTCAAGTGCTACAGAAATCATTTCTATTTTAAAGAAAAGATTGCTATTAGTCATCTGACTGCTAGTTAGAGTAAACTGTGGTACTCTGTTGTAGGTACAGCTGTAATTGTACCAGTACAGGATTCATGGGCCTACACTGTGAGACCTTAATTCCATTATGCTGGTCACAACCATGCCATAACAATGCCACCTGTGAAGATGACACTGACAATTACACATGCCACTGTTGGCCAGGTAAGCCCTGTATTCTCTTACAAGTATGCTCTTTTCCTTTAGAGCAGAAATTTTCCCACCCTTCCACTGATATGAAGACAACATCTACCTACCTAATCTTAAAATATTTTATGCAAGCAGTGTTGGAAAGGCATCACTTCCCATTATTAGCCAGGTCCACACTTAATTCCTTACCCCCTGCTGAGAATCTGTTCCTATGTGTAGAAAAAATGAACAGGTATAACAGCCTTTTCCCTATGTGCAAGTTTCAGTGTTATTAAGTCAAGTCATTGGCAAGCGGGAACTACAGTTCAGGGTCTGCTTCGTGGTTGTGTGCTTAATCCCTCAGTCCATGTGACATGGGGACTGCTCTTGCTGCTGCTGCTGTCAGTTCCTTAGTCTTCATAAATGTGACTTTTTGATTGAAATGAAAACCCTGGGGCTTCCATGTGAAATGTTGAATGCTTAAACTAAAAATAAAACTGAGCAAGAAGTGAGTTTTGGAAACCAAACTCCCTTGAGACCCCTGAGGGTAGGTTCTTCTATGCTGAGATAGAGACAGGTTACAGTTTCAGATTCCTGTACTTATTCAAAGGATCATGTCCTGCTAAACTGAAGAATGACTTCATATTCAGCTGCATCTCTAACCGGGACGCTGGCACTGTTCCTTGGTGCAGTTACTCCCCACATTAGTGGATTCTTATCCTGCTTGTCACAGCCTAGTTGGAGCACAGATATTAAGCTATTCATAATACAGAATTCTTGGTATTCAGAAGTTTTGGAAATATGAAGTCTACACTTCTGAACTCCTTTCTACTCAAGGACCTAAAAACTCTTCATGAGTAGTAAAGTATTTAGCTGACACTGTGAATAAGAAGCATTGTTATCCCCATCTTTCACACCAAGAGACTTGCAGTTAGAATTTAAGTGACTTGTCTGTGGTCACGCAGGAAGCCTGCAGCTAAGCCATGAATAAAACCAATGCATCCTGATTCCCAGGCCTGTGCCTTAATCACCATCCTTCTTCTTTTGTATGCCCGCTTGTTTTCTGAATAATTGAACTGTAACTCAGGTATAAAGGTGAGGGGTCTTTTTTCTCTTTCCTTTTCAGCTTGGCAACTCCAGGGTTTTTTTTGAGGGGAGCTGCATATACTGCATGCTTCTTACTAAGGTGTAAATGATGTACTTGAAAAACTGGACCAACAATAACAATATTATCAACAATAAAATGACAGTGACTGCAAAAGACCCTTCCGTACAACAACTTCTAGATGAGCAAGCACACATACAAAGAAACATTAAAAACTGGGAAAAGGCTGGAATAGTAATGGGGAATAGGAGTGTTCTAATGCTATCCCCATTTTCTGTAGAATTCTGGACCCGAAGATGTAGTTAATAAGAAAAATTGTCAAAAAAGCAAACAATAGAATTTTTACTTAATAATTTGAACCCCCAAAAAGTTAAGTGTTCAAGTCCCAGGCTCCAGTGTTGCACACTATAATGTTTGGATCCAAGTATATCCATAGTTTTGAAGAGTTTAATATTTTCAAATCTAGAATTTTGATTCAGGTTAATCTTGGTCTTACTAATCACACATATTGTTTGACAGCAACACATGCTTGTTGAAGAATTATGAGAAATTAAAGGCTGAATAATATTCTCTTAGGCATGGGTTATGTTATGCAAATCAAAACTTCCATTCTTGCCTTACAGCAGTGTCTATATCCCAGGAAACTCATAAGTTTTACAAGATTGAGTTAAACACTTCCTTTTGATTGCTGTTCTGCAGGATATACCGGTTCCCACTGTGAAAATGATATAAATGAATGCAGCAGTAATCCTTGCCTCTATGAAAGTGAATGTGTGGAGCGGTCCTGGGTAAGCTGGTATGGAGCTATTCCAGAGCTGCCACCTGAGTTCAGCTACCACAGAGCATCAGGCTACGTGTGCAACTGTAAAGCAGGTTTTACAGGTAAGCTCTCTTTGTAAAAACTGAAGACATAATATATGACAGGGTCCACTGGATCCAATGTAAACGAATCGTTTGAACATACTGACATGTTAAATATGTCATAGTGCAAAGGGTCCCCCTGCTGGTCACAGTAAATATATTTTAACAAAAACACTTATGGCATACTGATAAAAATGAAAGAGCATTCCTTCACAAGTTGCAAGGTTAGCATGTTACCAGCAATTTCTAAGCATGCTATCTAAACAACAGGAACAGATGAGATGCCATTCTACATCAGGCCACAGCAGTGCCCAGTATCCTATGTCTCTCAGTGGCAGAGGATGCTAAGAAGAACAGTATATGTATGCTGGGCCTATCCAGACTGTCTCTTGTCCCTTTTCCATTTGTTTCCCCCTAACAATCATATTTAATATTCACTAATTAATTCACTGATGGTTTTATCCTGCATGAATCTGTCCAATACCCTTTTGAACTTGTTGAAATTGTCAACCTCTAAACAGTTTGATGGCCATGAGTTTCACAAGTTAATTACACACTGGGCATGTCTACACATTCATTAATGCACCGTAATTATGGCACACTACTTTAATGCCTTGTAATTGGTGCTACTGTGTATTGGCACTAGTGCATGCTTTTTTGGGTGATGCTAATGCACAGTAGACTAATTCTACTGCGCATTAGTGCCTTAGCACAGGTTTTGCCCACTGTGTTAATGTGCAGTAGAATTAGTCTACTGTGCTCAAAGCATCTTGTGTAGACAAACCCACTGTGTGAAAAGAAACTAATCCATGTTGCAAGAGAGAGAAAAGTGTCACGTCATGTCATGTCATGTCCTTTCACACACTGTTATTCTTGTCACATTTACTTGGAGGACACTGCAAACACTTTTCAAGCAGGGTCTTCTCTCCTGTGTTCCAGTTTCACTATGCATACTTCTGATAGTCTATAAATAATGAGAGCAATTACGATGCATTTTTGTAAATCAGACAAAGTAAAATCTACATTCCAGGTTTTCAGTCTCTGTCTCAAGGCTTCTAATGTAGTCAATATAGTGATACCTAGGCACCAAGGGAAACACTCCTTAACAGCAGGACAAATGCAGCTCTGTTAATAAATCTGACAGGCTATGCACTGGTTATACTCAGGTTTTTAAATGAAAAGTAGTACCAAAGGAAACCATAAGTCAGTACCATAAAAATCTATCAGTGATAATCCTGTAAAAGAAAGTTAAATGTCTTGAGATTTGTGTTAAATTAGCATGTTAGTCTTTTAAAAAGCCAACCCAGCATTATAAAGCTATGGATCTGTTCTACAGTCTGACCCTGTTAACTCAATTCTTCTATTTCCCCTGAGAAAAAACTGAGGGTTTTTTTTTTTTAAATAAAAGGGATGAATTTTACTAGTTGTCAATTTCTCCTCCCATTCATCTCCTGAGGTTTATAAAATTTTCCATACCACAGTGGTAGTAACCTCTATGACTTACCAGGTACAGAAAATATTTTTTCTACTACCTTTCTTTCTGTCTTGGGCTTCTGGATGAATGTTTCCACAGGGCAATCATGAGAATCTGTATGCTTCTTTTCCATCATTTCTCTTCAACTGTTCCACCCTATCCTGTTACCAAACAATGCCTTTGCACTTTGCGTTCTCTCAGAAAGTGTGACATGACCAAGGATCCTGGTTTTCTCCTATTAAAAATAATCCCCAATTTGGGGTAAAAAAAAGGTAACTCTAAATCCACATTTTTCCATAATTAGAATGAAACACCACTATATATACATCTATATGTTACTGGTCTTTCATTTAAATCATGGAAAAATGTGGATTTGAAGTTACTTTTTGTAACCGAAAATTGTTTTTTTTTTAAAATCAGAGAAAACCAGGATCCCTGGTCATGTCACACCTTCTGAGAGAACACAAAAACTGCATTGTCTATTATGCAGTTAAAAGCATAGCATTCTTCCTGAACATAATCCTAAACGAAGGAGATCAATTTGTTTTGTGATTTCATGTTTTTAATGGCTTCCCTGTATGCTAATGATATTCCTCTCCCTGTGCATCAAGCACCCACACTGTTATCCCAAGTCTCTTAAAATTTCACTCTTTTCCCTTGCTTTTCATAACTGACTTGCAATCCTTGCTCCCTATTCTTCCCCTGTTGCGCTACGTTTTAAAAGTCCTATGCTCTATCATATGACTCGACTTGTGTTTCCTTGTTTTAACTCACATCCCTCCTCTTCCTCTCCTTACTCAGCCATTACCTTCAAGTGTTTTGTTTTCTTTATTTAGGGCCTGGATACACATTTCTTAACGGCTTTATAGTGGTATATACAAGGAGTAAATGCACAATGTTGAGCCCTAAACCAGTTTAACTATTAGAATCAGTTATAAATTGCCCCAGGGCACAGACAGAAGTGATAATTTCTGGCCAATCTAGCCACAGAAAGCAGTCTATAGCTGTGACCAAACAGAAGTGCATGCCTGCAGACCACTTCAAAAATGGCCAATCAAGTGAAAATCTGAGGGTTCAGATGAAGATGCTTCAAAACGGAACGTCTTCTGTAACATGTGTCTGCACTGCTTCCAAGACTGTCACTCTTTTCAGAATGAGAGAGGGGGAAAGGAGCAGAGGGAATTTGGTTTGGGGTTTTTTCAGCCCCCATTAGAAGGTAAGGCAGGCATACTGGAGCCAACCCACACACCAGCACTGGCTGGGGAACCCCTAGAATGAGCTCCCTCTGCTCCCTTTCCCCACTTCCATTCTGAAAACAGGGATAGGATAGGAGGGAGGAGGGGTCATTGGTGGGGGAAACAGGCTGAAGGCTGGCAGCCAACAGCTAAATTCCCCTACCACCTGGAACCAACAGTGAACTTCTGTTTGGTCTGGGGGATCGTTGCAACTCAAAACACTTCCTGCAAAGCATTTTGACTTACAGCAGGGAGCTGCACTTCTGTCTGTACCACCATTGTAGTTACCCCAAGAAATAAGAAACAGCAGTAAAACTATATGAATGCAAGTGATACCAGGGTTTATGATGTGTCCACAGTTATTCTAGAGTAGCTGTTTGTTCAGTGCAAATAGGCTATTTCCCACACCTTAGTGACAAGACACTGAAATAGGACTTAATATTGCAGCTTCCCAAGATAACTGATTGTCTGCCCACCCCAAATCAGGGTGTGATTTATTTGTACAAAACTGATGTAAATGACATCAGAACTAACTTGTTATGTTATGTTATGTACTTTGACTCATAGTGCACTATCTTTACTCGTACTGATAAATATATTTACAGGTGAGATAGTACTTGTTGGCTGCATCCAGACGAGTGCAGCCATGTAGTATCTGGTGCCAAAAATGTACTGCACATTCAGCTGTTCTCTGCATTGCAAGGGAGCAGCACAGGGTTTTTTTTGACCCCTGGATATCCAGGGGGCAGGATGCACCGTTCAAAACCAGAGCCTGGCCAGCCAGAGCCACAAGCTGGCTGCCGGCAAGGCTCTGAGTGGCAGGATTGCCATTGCTGTAGCCCCAGGAGGCCTCCAACCCCCCAGGTAAGGCTACAGGGGCCAGCCCAGTGCTGGCCCCAGCCTCCCCTACCCCACCCAGGGTAACCTGCTGCTCACCAGAGAGTGCGTGACACAGGCGTTCCCTGGGGACAACTAGCAGCAGCCAGAGGGGATTAAGATTCATTGGGCCGTGGGGAAACAGAAAACTGAAAGACCCCCATACCCATTTTAAACATGAATGTATCAAAAAGCATTAATAAATAGCCCTGTTAAATGTTTATACGGTGCATTAATAAATCAAGCACAACACACGATGTCAAAATTAACTACTCAGTTTTGCCACACACAACACTGAATAAAACAACTGCCTTAAAAAAATTACTCAGATGTATGGGATCACCATAAACATATAACACAAAAGGAATGATGTTTTAGTTTAGTGGTCATGTAGACTCTTGTTTGACTTTTTTTTAAAATACACAATTTATCCCACATCCTGTCAGGATATGCAGGGACCCCCCCACCTCCCGAGTCTCCAAAATCCACAC